CTTTTCGATTTTTTTGGGATTAATAATCGCTAAACGCAAATGGCCGGTGGTACCTCGTTGCGAGAGAGCCACTGATCTAAATACCGTTGCAACATATATCAGTAGAATAGAAGACGGGAGGATAGAGGATAATGGAATATATGAGTGGCGCTATACATCTCCTGGAAGTAATTTAATATATATTTCACTTAATTAAAGGATTTTCAGTGACATAAGAACGCAATATATATGTATATTGTGATACACAAAAGCATAATTTTACGTGAATGTAGTGAAGTATTTAATTCTAAACGAACCATGAGTACCACAAGTCTAAAACTGTGTTAGAAACAATCTCAACATTTGACAAAATACTGTCCAACTGTCCTGTGTTTCATATTTATATACATTGATTGAGACTGACTGTGAGGTGTGAAAGTTACAAACTATAATGGTGTATTTAATTCAATAAAACTTAAATATTGAAAAAAATGCTTCTTTAATGTGACATTGTGAACTTTAATACTTGATTTACATATTTTGGAATATTTAATTAGCTTGTTTTGTTTGACGTCCTTTCTCCTTGCATCCTTTTCGATTTCAAATTCAAGACAAATAAAGAATTACTTTTATAAAGTCTAATTACTATTGCGGGTAATGCTCTACAGGGACATGCTCTCTTTTACATTATTTTATCGAGCATTGTGTCAATCATTGGTGAATTAGAATGTGTAGATTGACAAAGTGTTGAAAAGTAGATAATAATAGATAGTACAACTGAGTAAATATATTATCAATAAAATCCAAGTAAAGAAAAATGTTGATCATACAACCTAAGAAGAATTGTTTATTAATTGCGATTCTGTAAGATCATAACCCCATGCTTGCCAGGACAACTCAAACTACGTTCAGTTATCATGTATTATTGTATGATGATATTGTTATAAAAGTGTCTTCTCTCTAACTTATTACAGTAAATATGATAATATATCAAGCTTAAAACAGCAATTCCAATAATCGATTATTTTTCGAAGATGATCCGCAATAATCTAAAATTTACATATACCTTAACGTGCTGTAGTTTGTTTTAAAGGTGTAAATGTGTATACATTATGTCCCATATTGACCTTTAAAGTGTTTGTATATAAGATGATTTTAATTAAAATTCCTTAGCACTGGGAGTAGTTCTAGCGTGTTGTTTCAGCTCTCAGATCACAGAATAGCTTTATATTGAGTGGGGAGTATCATAACTCTACTGATAACTTATAGTGGTAAACCCTCTGTTCTTATTGCACGTGTGAAGCACATATGTGTTGTCAGACGCTTGACCCATAACAAGTCGGAGAAACAAGGACACATACGACCAAGAACCAGTAAACTGCCATAGATAAAGGCGAGGGCATAATAAACAGTATGTTCAATATATGTGTTCACAAATGTGTTTAAATGTAAAATCATATTTAGTTATCTCTATTGTCTGTATGACTTATCTGTATATGCAAGAAGATGGCTCGTTTACTTCCATGATGCATCATGCTGAAATTTCTGATTTGTAATACAAACAATCTACGACGTAATTTATTGATCACCAATGATGTTAAAATGTCTGCCACTATTCATGGATTATTAAAAATTATAAATCATACAACGTAATGCTACATTCATGTATGTTGCTAGTATTAAATTCACACCGAGTCGTGTTGATTTCCGTTCGTGTGTTCATAGCTATGTGTTGAATGTGGCACCGTTCCGTATCATTATCAGTCATAATCAAATGCTTTCTGTTTAAAACATGGGGTTTACATCGTAAAAGTGACACCTCAGAACAAGCTCTTTATATTAGCAATCAGAAGCGTATCAATGTTAATGTTTGTCGTTCTTTGCAAAATTATTGGTTTAATAGATGGAATAAAAGAACACAATGTGTCGGTTACAAGTTTAGGAAATCAATGTCCCGTATGGCGTAGCATGGCAAATGAGTTGGGAAACGTATACCCCATAGGAAGTCAAAACCATACGATTGCATAAAACTTCTATATGTATTTGTGTGGTATAAATCAAATGTGGATAGTATAACTGTTTCGGTAAAATTTGTAATACTTTTAATTTACCACGAGATCAATAAGAGTTGCGCTTTAAAAAACAGTTGCCGACACGCCTCGTCGTGTTCGATATGGGACTTATAGTGACGTATATGCGATACGAATACTACCACGCTTCCTAAATGAACAGTTCAAGGAATCGTTTAGATAAAGTATATTTCACCAGCATAAACACCCGAAGCTCAAGGTAATCCTTAGTTTGTAATCCACAAATCCATAATACTAATCCACAAATATATAATACCACACATTTATGTATCTAGACTATACTCGTACCAGGCAATCGATATTTTAATGGCAGCTACTGTGTAAATAAAAAAGAATGCATTTAAAAAGAGAATCCGTCTTAGAAGTAACAAAAATGTTGAGAGTGAAGAAAATTTAAAACCATTAGCGACGAGATTTAGGAAAAAACGTAAGCAGAGAGTTAAATTCAACATTTGAAGAGGGTGAAAGGAAAGTCTACAAAATGAACCGATGGGGTAAGGTTGCAGGTTATGTTTTGATTAGTCAACGCATCGGGATTATCGCAATTAATTTTTCTAGCAGCCAGGATTATGTCTTCTCCGTAAAGCTTATAAAGCGGGATTAATATAATTCTTTGTTGTTGCTCAGTGAAATGAAATTTTAATTGGAAGATGTCACTTCACTTGTTTAATTATTGGGGGGGGGACTTTAATATATGCTGAAGAGAACACTGCAATCTACAGTCATGTTCTGCTGTGTCGTCAACCCTTTAACTCAATGGTTTTACAGCAAACATTACTAAACACACTAGGATATACGGCTGATTAACATATTATCGCTAGCGCTGTGGCTGTTACATCGGTCACATGATCGGGTCGACTCTCATCCCGAATGTGCTACAGATTAAATTGGAAGGCAGACTCTACTGGCCGAGATTCATTTGCGAATTTGGATGAGCCTTGGCTGCACATACAAAACATTCAGGGGAGACAACAGTGATATTTAATATTCGGAACTTCTTTCTGGCAGAAAGGTATTTTTTAAAATGTCACTGGAGTCCATGAAAGCTCATTAGAGTATTTAATTTCAATGTATTTTTGTTATGAAAAAATTATGTTTTGACAGAAGAATAAGCTTATGCATATACAATTATGAAACACACTCCCAGAATATTAAATTCCGATGGTTTGTTTTTAGTGTATTCTATTTCAGTGTTGATTTCAGTGTTTCCGTAGCTTCTTGCACTATTTCGTAGGAAGCGTACACGAATCCTATCGTTGATACATATTTGCATAATTAACGATGCCTTCGGTAATTACAAAGGATTTTTTTGATAAATATACATGAATTGATATAAGGACTGGTGTTGAATGAATAAATTATCACTAAGAGTTTTGCCGACGAATGAAAATAACGAGAGTTGTTTTATTAGTATCAATAATGGAGCCATTTACTCCAATTTTGTCATTATAACTGATTCAGTGTGTAAAGAAATAAATATTTCATCGTTCAATTCCAACAACCAGAGTCTCTTGAGACCATGTCTTCCTCTAACCCTCAATAGTATCGTTTGAGTTCCTGTTTGTTTAGGAATCAATGGGCTATCCGTGTTAGGGCGTTCCGCGGGGAGGAGCGCAAATACAGTTCCTGTAAAAACGAAGTAGGCATATCAAGAGACATTAGCCGAGGATCTTTCAAATTTTGGCCTCTTTACGCTGATGCGGGCGGCGATAGGCTGCATTAATATGAATATACAAACTACTAGATTTATCATGCAAATAACATAAAATATGCGTTGGCATTGTGTGTGTCGTGACTTGTAAATTATCAAGGGTTTTCTCGGTTGGCTTGCATACTATTATATTTCAAGGCACCATCTTTTTGTTTAGTTGACATGAGATTAACTGATTAAAGTAGTTGCAATGCAACTCTCAATGCCAATGTTTCGATAATTAGCACTAATTGGAAACATTTTCTTTGACGGGTGGGTGTCGATAAGATATAAAAATTACATATATTAATAACGAAGATACGATGTGCCAGTGTTTACTTTGTACGGCGCTACGTCTACTATGAGGAGTGTGTTATTGTAATTGCAACTAAGTTTAAGGTAAGGTTAAATGAGTGTGATTGTATTTATGGACTTAGTGTTTCATTCTTACAGACAATTGTATTGATAATACGCACTCTTTCTAAACTGTGTAAAGTTTCCAGTGCCCAATTTAAATAATAATAATATGAGCTAGATTGTGGTGTATTGCAATTTGATTTATTACAATTTTCAAGCAACGTTTTTTTCACATACGCATTACGCAAAATCACAAATGGAAATGATCTTTACGAAGTACCGTGGCTGTCGATCAGTGTAACAAATCGGCGTGGTTGTTCAGAAAACGCAAAGTAGCCTTTTTTTAGTTCTTCGATCAGACACGCGAATAAAAATATATCTCTGAATTCGTGAGAAGTTTCTGCACGTAGGAACAGGTCGGAAAAATCATCATATAGATATGTTACTATGTAGAATTATGATATGACGTAGTTAGCGATGATTACAACTTAGATTTGTCGCACGTGGTGAAACATCATCTGTCAACCGCTTAATCCGGGTGGGTGTGTTCTGATGGTGTCATGTCAACCACATATTCGATCAAAGACACATCGTGATTGAGGAATCTGTAATGCGAATTCACTGGCATAGGACATAGGACAATCTTTGTCTTGCCTACAGGTGTGACATCGGAAAGTCTCTGGGGCTACGTGTTCTCATTAATACCGAAGCGTCAACCTTTTCATACTGTAGGCTGGGTTAAAACGGACAGGGATTGCAAGCGTCGACACTTACACTTGCAAGATACCGAGACAATGCGATTGTTGGATTGTACTGCTGAGTAAATCACACAACCTGAAATCCAGTTGCACAAGAGCTGCGATAGAGAGGGAGTGGCAGGAAAAAACGCATCCGGCTTGCACCCCAGTCGTAAGACTATTAGTCAAACAAGGTAAAGTCACATAGCAATTACTACTGTCGTGTTTCCTTTTCTTATGTTGCATACTATCGATGACCGCGATAATGTGTTATTATCTTGATCCGTTGGCTCTGTTTTATAGATTTATCTGCTTTAGCGATCGTGTTGGCGTTGGATGTGAGATTTTCTTTCATTCCTATGTCGAGTTACCAATTATGGCAAGCCTTATAGAAGGAGGCTTATCTATCTTACTTTACAGATATCTTATCTTAAAATTAAAGCATTCGTCCAACAGATATACAACATCCAGTCACGCTGTTTTCTTTTAACCTACTCAGGAATTCAATAGCTAATATGTGAAATATAAATGTATACCCTCTTTATCTATTATATTTTACATTAATTTTCTTAACTTTGCACAATGTTTCATGCTAACATTGCCATACAAGGTGGTTAAAACAGCTCAAGCACAAAGATAAAAAATATCGTCGCCCGTCCATTAGATAATGACTGAATGACTGAATGAATAAATGACTGAATGAATAAATGTCACCAAATCTGTAGACAATTTAAGCACGCGCAACTCTAGATGGCAACATCAAAATGAAAAAAACACAGGATAAATAGCCCGGTTGTAGAATAAACTGTGTCTGTGTGACTCTTTCCATGCCAGACAAAATAATAAAATAATCATCCTATGCACATATTTGAATATAAATAAGTTTGAATATAATATAAATAAAAAGAATAAAGTATAAACTAAAAGTAAATAAATATTTAACTGACGAATCAGACAGTGGTATATGTAGTAAATTAGTTCATTAGCGGTTTGATAAACCAATAGTGAAATGCTAGCGTGAACAAACGAAAAAAAAAAACTATAAAGGCCATTAGCGTAGTATAAAAAGTATATAAATCCATAAATTATTTTTGTCGATTAACCGTCATGAAAAAACAATACCTTATTGATATTAAAACATAATAATGCATCGATGTAACTAAAAGTCTCCAATTTTCGTTCTACGTCGTGGAATGGAAATAAGGAATGTTATAATATAGATGTACTCGAGTACATGGCTAGTACATGCTGGTAACAAGAATAATAAAACTAAGTTTATATGTGTCTGCAATGCAGTGCCTGTTGATGAATGCATTGATCACAGTTGCATAAACGAATAGAAAAAAAACACTATAAATATCATTCTGAATATTGCTATTCAGTCAGCGCCGCGCTATCAATGGACACCAAGACAGCCGAATATAGTCCGTTTCTGTTCAATCATTGAACACAGTTGAAACGATCACAAACGCACATTGATAATTTTCATGCAAAATATTTGCCGGTTATCCAACTCCTTGGAAGGACAAAAACTATAGAACGCAGTGCATTTTCTGAAAATCTTTACTGGATTGTATTTTTTTCCTTTCACTACATTTGTGCTTCAAATTTAGTTTTGCCGTTGAATTACTTGAAACATTTTATATATCATGTTTTGTAATAGACGATACTCGTCTGTTGATGTATATGTCTGAGTATTTCGTGTCGACGAATTCAACTTCTAACGATTCATGCAAATGCGAATATGCTTAATATATATCGGCCTGATTGTTCAAACAGGTATAGGATGCGTGTGGAATTCTTAAAAAGTTTGACGAGCTAAATTTCCCAAATAGATTAATAATACTCTACTATCTTAATATCTACTGATCCAGGAACGAGCAAATTTCTAATTCCCGGTGTTTTGTCAAATACCGTATAATTTCATGGTGATCAATATAAATTACTGTTGTTTGAGACGACTTAATATCAGAATTTCACGGGCTTAAATTTTGAATAATAATCACTTCCTGTATTATTCACATGACTGAGAATCTATGACACTGTAAAAACATGCAGTGTTATCGCATTATGTGCCTAAGCACACTATCTATGTGCCTGGAATAAATGCATACAAATTAATTGGACGAAATCCTTATCTAGTTCAAATAAAATAATAATATTTCATATTGATGATACACGTTTGTGTGTAAATAGTATGTAAAAATCTACGACGTACGTTATGTTGTGAATTTCACAAACTATCGAAATCTTTCATATTATATGCGGTAATAAAAAGCCCCGTGTAACTTTCCCGATCATCACTGTAAAACAACTATCTAATCTATTTGTTATTTTAATTGGGTCGATGCATCCTGAATAATTGAATACGCTTGGCGTGACTAAGACCAGGTTGTCAGAAAACTGTAATTAAAGGGAGATAGGTAATTTTGTTAATGTATCATATTAATATGATAAATAGTTTTCTTTTAAAGAAGTATACCTGAATTTTAAATAATATATACATAACATTATTCCAAATAAAGTACTGAAGGAATATCTGTCACATCTAGTCATTGTAACATAATTACATAAAAGACTAGCGATTTGGTTTGTCATACTTTCAATAATGTGCGCGTATTTGTTAATTAATCTGTTTTGAAGTGCACGTAAGTAAATCTTCCGATTTTACAGAGAGAAATTAAAGTCTGCATTTATTAAAACATCCGCTTTGCCACCACATCCAATTGTCAGTGGATTTACTTAACATACATTCATTCTTGCGATTCGCTTTGTGTTGACCAAGAACGGTAATCTTCTCCTCCGCCGGTTTTACGGTGTTAGAAATAAAGGATTGCATCAATTTGTTGAGAGGAAATTAAAGTGGCGTATGCCAGCTTATCTCAATCACTCAATGAGTCAAACTGATTTGTCCCACGATGTACTAAATCCCGTTTCAGTCATCACTTGATTTAGCTGGGTCATGTATTAATGCCATGCTCATTTCAGGTGGTTTATTTGACAAATTTACGCAAAAAAGCGAATGCAAATGTTTTTACAAGCATCAATCGTACTACCTTGTGTGGCAAATACGCAAACTAGATCTACAATTGTGTTTCTTTCAGAAGAAAAAAACTTCAAATTGTGTTACCAATACTTAATTTTACTTACTTAATGTTGTATGTAAAAGCCAACATATTCTTATAAATTATGTTTTGTTTTGTTTTCACGTAAGGGATACCAACCTTAAAGGTTTTACTGAAAACGTCATGAAGGGTGACTATCGACCC